TGGGGGGCGGGGGGGGCGGGGGGGGGGGGCTGGAATTCTGCTGGGAGCTGGAATTCTGCCGGGAGCATCCTCACCTTCTGCGGGGCGTTGATGACGCCGGTGTTGTAGCCAAACTGCAGGGAGCCCAGCACTGCTCCTCCCACGGCGAGCATCAGCCGAGCCGTCATCTGCAGGGACAGGGACACAACCGGGAGGGGTCGGTTACACGCGTTAAACCACCCACCCCTCCAGGTCACAGAGATTCCCCCCCGCTGCTCCTCCCTGGGGAAGCTGCAAGAGGAGGGACATGGGGATGCACAGGGGGGAAGAGAAAAACCTGGGGAAAGAGAAAACCTGGGGAAAGAGAAAACCTGCTTTTTTCATGGCACCCACGTCGGGGCGGAATCAAAAAACAACCGGTTTGGTTTTCAAAACAACTCCTGTTTGGGGATTTCTGGAATTTTTTGCCTCCGGACGGGGCCAAGAAGGTTTATCTGGGCTGGCAGGGCCCCCTGCAAGGGCTTGAGGTGACAGGCAGGGGTTTGGGGACACGGGGGTGACGCCGGGCAGGACGGCCCAGCCAGCGCTAACGAAGGTTCTGCTGTGCAGCCTACTGCTTGGCAAACCCTTCGCCCGCCTCCTCTTCCTCCTGCTTAAGCCAGGGCGACAATCGGAGCCTTGTTTGGGAGCAGGGTCAGGGCAGGCCAGAGCTCGGGCCACCTTCGTTAAGGGCCCAATTATCCCAAGCAGGAGATTTTCCCGGCACTCGGCTCCGAGAACCAGGATCCGACATTCCCAGTTAATCAGCTTTGGGATGATCCACGTGAAATTTATAATCCCCCTTTTTTTTGGGGGGGGGGAGGGGGCAGGGAGGGGGTTGGGCTTTCCCCAGTTATCCCAGGTTCAGGTGCATCATCACCCCGACACAGGGATGCACCCCCAGCATCTTGGATCAGCATTCCCAAGGGATTGGTGCCTGTCAGACACCACCTAAATGCAACTCCTCAACCAACACGCCCAAAAGAGCAATAGTTTCCTATTTTAAGCAGCATATTCTTACATTTTTAAATATTTAAATATATTAAATATAAATAAGGGCTGCTTGCTGACCTCACCTCTCTGGCCAAGCTGCCTCCCCCCACGTTAAAAGTTTGCAGGGAAAAAGCAACAGGGAATAAAGCCAGGCCCGTTAATGAAGCTCATTAATTAGGCTTGGCCCCAACACAACTGCTCTGGGAGGTTTTGGCACTTGGTTTTGTTCGGTGCTTCTGAATAAACCCACCCCGAGAAGAAAGTCTCCACTTGGGAGGGCAAAGAAGAGGCTGGGAAGTGGCTGGTATCCCAGAGAAACAAGGAAAAAGCCCCCCAAAAATCTGCAGCCCCGGGTCTGACCTCATCCCCTGCCCCCCAAAACCGCGACGGGCAACGCCGACGGCAACCGGCGCTGGAGTAAAAGCTGCTCAAACACAGGGGGAATGAGTGGGTTTTGGGGAGGGGGCAATTTTTTGTTTTGGGGTGTTTATGGGGAGCCAGGTGATTTATTCCTTGCTTTTTTGGGGGGGGGCAGTTCTTCCTTGGGCAGCCGGCCCAGCCCAGGAGAGGCGACAGGCGAGAGCCCATTAGGGCGCGCGGCGGGTGAGTCAAGGCTGGCACAGGAGGGGGAAGCAGCACCAGCTGAACTTTGCTCCAGGAAGGTGGCAGGTAGCAACACCTCTTCATTCCAACACCAGCCCCAGCCCCACAGACAATTCATTCATACAACCACTACTGCAACTTGTCTTTTTAACCTCTATAAAAAAAACACCTTAAAATTCAACCTCTACCAAAAAAAAAGAACCCCACAACTTTTTAACTCCTAGTAAAAAGAAAATAAGAATATATATTTTTTACATTTAGCATAAAAATCTTAATAGTTCTATTCAACCCCAGCAGCTTGAAGAGGCAGAGGGACACAGTTTGTGGGAAGGCTGCTGGCATTTTTGGAGGCTCTCCCCGGGCAGGGTCACTGTGAGTCAGCTCCTCCTGCTTGCCTCGGCCTTCCCGAGTCCCAGCACGTTTCCCAGCCCCATCCCAGAGCCCTTCAGCTTCAGCCTCGCCATTAAAGGAGAGGCTTAAGATGGCGAGTTAAAAAAATAAATAAAAAGCAATCAAAAGTTGATGCTGAAGGGCAGCCTGGCACGGGAAACTCCTGCAAAGCCACGCGCGGGGCTTCCTGGGGTTCTCTCTTTTTATTAAGTCCTTGCAGAAGAAACAGCTGCTTTATTTGAAGTTTAAGGGGAAAAAAAAAAACCAACAACCAACCAAGCAACAAACTTCCCCTTCTTGCTTTAGTGCAATAAACTGATTCACAACCTGAAGACTGCCACCACTCCTGTTCTTTCCCCTACTAACTCCTACAGGAAGGTGAGAACAGCACTTCCAATTGTCACGAATTTGTATTGTTTTTTTGCTGCTTCCTGCCTCCTTTGTCACTTGAACACGGAAGCTGGGAGGAAATATCACCCCACGGGGTGACAGCAGCCCCCCCAAACCCACAGCAGCCTGCCTTGGGCTTTACAACTTGGTTTTTTTACTCCTTTTTTTTTCCTTCAGCACTGAAGGATTTTGGGATGCTGCCTGCTCCGTGGAACAAGGAAATGAATAATCCCTTTTAATATAAATAAATAATTATTTATTTATATATCAAAGTGTCCCAGGAGGGCATTCCAGGAAAACCCAGAAAGATGAGCCAAGAGGCTCTAACAAGCATCCCAGGGGGTCGGTTGCAGGATCCATCCTGGGATGGATGCAGGGGGGGGGGAGAGCAGCATCTGAAGGGAAGATCCAGGCACTGCCCGGGATAACAGGGCTGCCCACTGGCTCCCAGCCCTGGAAAAACTTAGGCACCCACCAGGGGCTGGGCAGAACCTGCTCCCAAAGCCACAGCGTGGGCCACAGGCACACACACAGGGGGGGTTCCGCAGCCAACGGGCACTGCAGGGCTCAGCTGAGATTTTGGGGGGGATTATCAGTGCAGGAGGAGAAGAACCGGGGGGGTGAGGGGAGCCAGGGCAGCGGGGTTTTTATTTGGATGCCTTTCCTTTCATTTAGGGGTTTTTTTTCCCCCCTAAAGGTCAGCTGGGGACGGCGACACCGAGCTCTGCAACCGCAGGAGCGACAAGCCCGGGAGATGTTCCCGCACGCAGGGAGCTGGGGCAGCCCAGCTCCGTG